TTAGTTTGCCACATTATTTCAGATAACGTTTGGATTTTCTTTCTACTAGTCATGTCCTATTAACATTACTATCGTTGTATGGGCAGGTTACGTTTAATTAGCAAAGAAAACACCGAGTGATCAAAAAGATAAAAAAAGATTCCTTTGACAGTTTGTAAATATGTCTTCCGTTTCCGTCTGTCTGTCTGTCGTTCGTCTGTTTGTATCGTTTTTTGTTAGACAAATAATCTCCGAAACCATGGGATCGATTGTTGCCACATTTTATATATATATGAAGGGTACACGGGATTAACGATCAAAGTCACAATTTATAAATATCGAGAAAAATGAATTTTAAAATTTGAAACCCAATAGATTCAAAACAACACAACAATTTAGTATTATTGTTTAATGTGAAACTTATTAATTAATAATAACACACAAAGAGTGGACAAACAAACTTAGTAATTGACTTAAACAAAAATAAATATATAATTCTGGAAAAGGTGTATTATGTGTATTATCTTCCTAAGGATACCATATGTTAAGCCCTTCTTTCTGCTGACTGCGATCGTTTTTTGAATAATTTTAATTTATACTATTGTAGTATTTAGCATTTCCTACAAGATGGTAGTCTTATCTCAATTTGATAAAAAAATGGACTTTGATCGTTATTCCCGTGTACCCTTCATATATGCTAGGAATATGATAGATAAATTACATAAATAATTTACTAACTAACTAATTCTCTATTTTTCACAAAAAGTTTTTATTGGAAGTTTTCTAATTAAGCTGTGAATAATATGTATTATAATGCTTTTAGCTAAATAATGTGTTCCATTCCTGGTTTTAGTCAACCTTAATTTATTGTTTGTAACCATCTTCATTTTGGTATTACTTGAAAACTTTGATTTATTTAGCAATGAGAAGGATGTAACATTAGTAGCAATATACTCCAAACATTTATAAATGAATAATGAGGGTAATAAAATTTGTAGTTCCCTGAAGTACTGCCGGCAGTCATCTGTATATCCAGTATTGACTATTCCTCTCACAGCTCTTCGTTGTAGTTAAATACTCTTTTAAACGAGGGCGAATGCCGCAAACTAAGATACCACACTGAAGATGAGAATGTATTAGGGAAAAATATACCGTTCGACATAAATCTTGAAAAAATATTATACCTTTGGATATTTTATTAAGGATTTGTTCTCCATGCTTGTCAGTTCAATTGAAAATTAAAATAAATATATACTAAGGAATTTTGTGAAGTCTGAATAGATATTGTCTTGAGAAATGTTTTAAGGTAAATAATAATATGTCGTAAGCTTGGCAAATAAATTTATTATTTAATAAAAATTTATCCGTTTATCCCTTCACAAAAAATTGATGACGTCACAAAATTTTGCTGAATAAATGTGCAAAATGTTATGAGTTTATACTTGTGGTTTACCAATGCATTCATATTTTTACTTCCCTTGCGTAAGCTAAGGAAGTATTGTAATCGAGTCCATCGGGCGACTGGCTACTTTCATATTTTCTTGACGTTTTATGACCTCTAGAGTACGAAAAAATAGAACTCCCGTTTTCGTCTGTCTCTGCCGTCAGTCCGGATTTTTATTAGACAGATAATCTCCGAAACTACTGGATAGTTTATTATGTATGTACCATCGGTGGAAATAAAAAACTGGAACACTGAAAATTTTAGTATCGTAAATTGTTCTTCAAAAACTCAGTCAAAATGAAAGTGTTAGCTCGCAACCACGTGTCATAAAATAATATTTTGTTGATAAGCATCCACTTACACATTTTCAAGATTATCGAGTTAATTATGTCCCAGTTTTTTTTTGCACCGATGGTCGTACATATTAGGAATGTAGATGGTAAAATGTTACCCAAATTTGTCTAATCATTCCCACCAACAACGTGATACCATACCCTCAAAATTTTTAGTAAACATTTTTAAAATTTTGTGAAATAACGTCCTACGTGTAGTTTACGAATGAATCCGCATTGAGTTTTATTCACCAAAATGTTTCTGCAATATTCCGTGCTTGTTGTATATAACCGATATCTCGCGCATGTGCAAACCAAACGCTTTGTGGCCGCGTGTGTTACTAAGTAATTTAAGATTCCCGACGTTCGAACAAGGTTTGCACGAGTAAGTTCGATTGCCATCCACGTTGATATTTTTTTAAAATCATATCAAGAACGGTTCACTCCATCTTCTCGAAAATTAAAGCAATGTCGAACCGCCTATATTTAATAATAATAAAATAATAATTATCATACACCCAAAATAGTATTCGGACCGTTTTGCTTAATTAATTAATCAGTCTTTTCCTCTGTAACGAGACAAAGTCAATCAATTGTAATTTTCTTTTAACACAAATGTAATGTAATTATAATCGAATTCTTTCGAACTATGAACATAAACACTCGAAGTTAAGCATCTAATTAGAGTGTTTTTCTCTAAAAGGTACACGGGCGTGGTCACGAGGTCTCCGTGTGGAATTTTGCGGGAATAGATTATAGACAGTGGCGTATTTTTTGGATATTCAATCTAGGATCACTGGTCAAATAAAATTCTTTTAATTATACTATCTGATTTGATAAATTAATGTTTAGTGTTAATTTTTTAATATCTACATTAGTTATGTTTTTAGGAGAAGATACCACATTGTTTAAATTTTGTGGATTATAAGTACAATATGTACTCTTTTTAGGCAGAATCGTTAAAATCATCAATACTATAGTCTGTATATTGAATACTCAAGTACGAACTAAATGTTCGTGCGGGTATTAATATTGAAAAGTACCAAAAATTTAAGACATTTTTGAAACGGAAAGCTGTGGGATACAAACCAAAAAAAAAATCGAAAACGTCAAATTTAATTTCATTCATAATTTTAATAATTTTAAAAAAAGGAAATAAAAAAATGTAATTATCATCTAAGTATATGCGAAAAAGATATATACAGATTTGTGCACGTATACTTTCTTTTTTACTTTCATTATCACTGGTGTTGCAATCTTCGTCTGAAGAACCCGTGTTGTTGACGGTAAATGACAAACTTTCCAGCGTAATGTCAAAAATGTGCTATTTTTCAATAAAGCTGGCTTACAGTGAGAACTTCAAGTTATTTATTGAAAAATGTGGGTACTTAACACACTTATCATTAAAAAAGCGTCCGAAACTTAAAAAAATAATATTATACACGACAACTAACTAAGAAAATTATAGGTGCTCACCACTGAGTTCTCTAACGCTACTGCAGGTGTATACCTTTTACAGAAAAACACTACTATGAGTACATTTTTGTCGATGGTTGTTTGGTTTAAATATGTTTTGTGTATCGTGCGGATCCTTGCAATTTCCGCACCGACGGCGCAGGGCTGCGAGAGGTGGTGTTACTTACGCCACTAGTTTTTACGTTCTAGAGGTTATTGCAAAACCAAATTTTATAATTTTTCAAAGAAGCGGGATTTGTTGAACTGAACTTCAGGGGCGAGGGAAGTCGAAATAAACTTCGACCAATTTTTTAGAATTGCTTATACTGGGTAACTTAAATTACAGAAGGACAAAATTTATTTGAAATTTATCGCCCCATTTTCTCGAAAATTTGGGAGTACAATACTGTTATAATCAGTATTACACTGCGCCTATCCAAATTGATCACGTTTTCACAAAATTTTGTAATGGAAAAACTCAATTAAAACATACACATAACATGTTTGTTAACATTTACTTTAATATTCCACACATATTTTTATTTTAGTGATCTTCAAAAAAATAAAATAAAATTCCCAAAATCAAATTTTATAATTTTTCGAAAAAGTTGTATGCTTCAGAATTTCCCTCGCCTCTGAAGTCTGTACTTCAGAGGCGAGGGGGAAAAAATAATAATAAATAACCTTTGACTAATTTTTTCTTTTTCTCATACACAATCTTTGTTAAGGATGGATATTCGACAAAACGTAAAAGGTAGATCGAGACTAGAACAAGGAAAGGTCGATAGTGTATTTAAAACTACAATAAAGCACTTCTCTTCACGTATATATATTTATAAAAATAGAAGTAAATTTGCAGGTAACTAATGAGGTTTTTATAGACATGGGTAAAATGTTTTTTAAGAAGAAAATAAAGAGCTGACAATGTGTATATTTTGAAGAATAAATTCCCCTCGTGAATACTGTTCACGTTTTATGCGGGGTAGACTATAAAATTCAAGCACCGCTTGTACATATAAAAATCCTAAGGTCTATAAACGATTTCATATTCCAAATTTGAAAAAGAAAAAAAATATTTTCCCCTTTTTATACATCTTATTTGAAGACTTTTAAGTTGTTTTCATAGTAAAAATGCGATTTTCTTTTAAAAATTATAGTGAATTCGAATAAAAAGTGGTTTCAAACTTTCAAGTTTCTAAAAGTTTTCTTATTTTTATAATTTATTGCTTGTAAATTCCAACTTATAAAGCACTTTCACTGTAGTTTATGGTTTCGGTTAGTGTTTCCAGTACCAGAACACGAAGGTACTAAACTGTAATTCGTGCTAAAACTGCAGCGTGCTCTCTGGACAGAAAGAACCCCAAAAGTATTCTGAATATTTACCTCTCGTATTTTTGTTATTACATAATTGATATAATATATCGTACAATAGGGGTATCGTATTCCAAGTATTTTTTTTATTTCCATTAAAAATAAATTGTAGATGCTTTCAAATTTATACATAATTGTTAATAAACTATATATTATTCGTTATTATTGTTTGCATAGTTTGTCTTATCAGATAACAATAATGACGAATTTTGCTTCTCTTCTATTGATTTGCCAAAGGTTTACTGGAAAACGGCAGTTTGTGTTAAGAATACGTGAGGTAAAATGTTTAGCTAAAAACTATAAATTATGATTCTAGCGTTTAATCACAAATTAGTTTTGTTAAAATGATGATAAAATGTGTGGAGTACTGTTGTCGCTATATTTAGTGCATGTCGTTGATGATTTTTTTTTTATTGCAGAGCGGTAGCGGCGTATCTACGAGCATTAAATTTATCACCCAACAATGCAGTTGTCCATGGAAATTTGGCTTGCGTCTACTACGAACAGGGTCTTATTGATCTTGCAATTGATACATACAGAAGAGCCATTGAATTACAACCAAATTTTCCAGATGCATATTGCAATTTGGCAAATGCTCTTAAAGAAAAGGGACAAGTGGCCGAAGCCGAAGAGTGTTACAATACCGCTTTACGTTTGTGTCCATCGCATGCTGACTCCCTTAATAATTTGGCGAATATCAAAAGGGAACAGGGCTACATTGAAGAGGCTACTCGTCTTTATCTTAAAGCTTTAGAAGTATTTCCAGAATTTGCCGCGGCACATAGTAATCTTGCTTCAGTATTGCAACAACAGGGTAAATTAAATGAAGCACTTATGCATTATAAGGAAGCAATTCGCATACAGCCAACCTTTGCTGATGCTTACTCCAACATGGGCAATACGTTAAAGGAAATGCAAGATGTATCAGGAGCTTTACAGTGCTATACGAGGGCTATTCAGATTAATCCAGCATTTGCTGATGCTCATAGCAATTTAGCTAGCATTCATAAAGATTCTGGAAATATTCCTGAAGCTATACAATCTTATAGAACAGCTCTAAAACTGAAACCCGATTTTCCAGATGCTTATTGTAATTTAGCTCACTGTTTACAAATTGTTTGCGATTGGACTGATTACGATACACGAATGAAGAAATTGGTTAATATTGTTGCTGATCAATTAGAGAAGAACCGACTTCCATCGGTTCATCCACATCATTCTATGCTTTACCCACTGTCTCATGAATTTCGGAAAGCAATAGCGGCTCGACATGCTAATTTGTGCTTGGAGAAAATTCATGTTTTACATAAACATCCTTATAAATTTAATATGGAATTGAAAGGGCGTTTAAAAATTGGTTATGTTAGTAGCGACTTTGGAAATCATCCCACCTCACACTTAATGCAGTCAGTGCCAGGCCTTCACGAACGAAATCGTGTTGAAGTATTTTGTTATGCATTAAGTCAAGACGATGGTACAACTTTTAGAGGAAAAATTTCACGTGAAGCAGAGCATTTTATTGATCTTTCACAAATTCCCTGCAATGGAAAAGCGGCTGATAGAATATATTCTGACGGAATACATATCTTAGTCAATATGAATGGATATACCAAAGGGGCGAGAAATGAAATTTTCGCATTAAAACCAGCGCCAATTCAAGTAATGTGGCTAGGTTATCCAGGAACCAGCGGTGCAAGTTTTATGGATTATTTAGTAACAGATGTAGTTACATCTCCTGTTGAATTGGCTAGTCAATATAGTGAAAAGTTAGCATATATGCCTTATACATATTTTGTTGGTGATCATAAACAGATGTTTCCCCACCTTAAAGAAAGACTAATTGTTAGCGACAAAAATAGTAGTATAAATTCAAATTTGCCTGATAATGTTGCAATTATTAATGCAACCGATTTATCTCCGTTAGTAGAAAGTACAGATGTCAAGGAAATTAAAGAAGTAGTAAAAGCAGCTAAACTAGTTGAAATAAGTTTAAAAGTGGCTGAACTCCCAACTACAACCCCAATAGAAAATATGATAGCCTCAGGACAAGTACAAACTTCGTTGAATGGTGTGGTGGTTCAGAACGGCCTTGCCACTACACAAACTAACAATAAAGCAGCGACAGGCGAAGAAGTACCTCAAAATATCGTGATTACAACGAGACAACAGTATGGCCTTCCCGATGATGCTGTTGTGTATTGCAATTTTAATCAGTTATATAAAATTGATCCAATGACATTACATATGTGGGTGAACATATTAAAAGCTGTACCGAATTCTGTTCTCTGGTTATTACGATTTCCGGCAGTGGGAGAACCTAATCTACAGGCTACAGCTCAACAACTAGGGCTTCCTCCAGGTAAAATATTATTTAGCAACGTTGCTGCGAAAGAAGAACACGTCAGACGAGGACAGTTGGCTGATGTATGTCTTGATACTCCTCTGTGTAATGGTCACACAACCAGCATGGATGTTCTGTGGACAGGCACTCCTGTTGTAACGTTACCAGGAGAAACCTTGGCTTCACGTGTTGCCGCAAGTCAGTTAGCTACACTGGGGTGTCCAGAACTTATAGCTCGTACTAGGCAGGAATATCAAGAAATAGCTATTAAATTAGGAACAGACAAGGAATAGTAAGTATTTTAGTTTAATTGATTTCCGATTCATAAATAGGCTGAGTCATTAAACGCCCGCTTCTTAATACTCATTAATTATTAGAAATAAAATAAAAACTTCAAGTTGTACAGTTCTTTGAGTAGCATAGACTAAAATTATTTTCAATTATAGAGTCTTCGGTTTTTGAGGCATGGCGTACAACGTAGTTGTCTAAATGGAACACTTGAACAGTTGCATTGCTAATAAAAAGTCTAGAAAATTTAAATAACTTGGCAGTGTTCTATTGCAACTTCAAAAATAAATTAAGGTTATAAAGTAAATGAAGCAGAGCATATAAAAATATATGTGTTCCATGCAAAAACAAAACAAAAAATAAAAATAAAACGCGTTTTCGGTTTTTTTGTGTATTTTGCTTTTATTCTATTCACATTACGAGGTTTTTAAGAATAAGAATACTTCGTTATTTTTAGCTGCAGTTTAAGTTGCAGTACAGTATAGAGAGTGACACAATTAGGTTCAATAAAATTCTAATAAAAAAAAATTAAGCTCGAGAACAACTAGAAAAACATGTTTCGTTACGAGGAAACAAGAACGCATGTTGCACAAACTTTTGGAATTAAGTTAGTTTACGGTTCAATTCAATCAGTTTAAACTGTGAATGCAAAATAATAATAATCCTAAAGAAAAAACAAAAACTAAGGGTCACATTGCTTGTCTTGGTTTTTCTAAATTTTCTTTCAGCTAATATCATTTGGTGTGACCGACATTTAGTCAACCTAAAACTGTATAATTGTAGCAAACGCTACTAGCGTAATGATAATGAAATTTTAATGTGACGTATCGTAAGTAACCAAAAAATAAAACAAAACAATTTTTATAATATTTGATGGTACAACAGGAAGCAATGTCATACAGTAGCTGAAGATTTCCATGAGCCAGTGCAAACTGTACAATGAGCACCTGTTGCACAATACTTACAAGTCTAATAATATTAGTCTTGTGAATTGTAGTTTGTGCAATAAAAATACACAAATTACAATTAACAAGACTAATATTATTAGACTTGTGAGTATTGTGCAACAGGCCCGTGTACGATCTTCCCAATCTAATTAATTAATTAATATGATGAAGTCTAATGCTACCAAAATTGTCCAAAATTATTTTGATTGTGAGATAATTTGTTACTTTGTCTTTGAAAGACATGCTTGTAACAAATGAAAAATAGTAATTAAAAATTGTTTGTTTCAGTTTAAAAGGAATGCGACATAAGGTCTGGGCAGCTAGAACTACATCTCCACTATTTGACTGCAAACAGTATGCACAGGGTTTGGAATTACTTTATTCAAAAATGTGGGAACGTTTTGCAGCAGGTCTTAAACCAGATCACATCACTGATACGACTGCAAAAAAATAGACTTTCGTATTTTTTTGTGACCGATTTATTACACGTTGCTCATGTGGTTTTTAAATTGACGGTTAGCTTATTTGTAGAGTTTTATTTTAGTAGAAGTTGGACGAAAGTTTAGGAGACTTAGATGTACCATGATTTTGTATGCGACGCAGACTATGAAATGACATTTCTTAATTGTACTATATTGGAGCAAGTTCTGTTGCTAGATGTTTTACTATCTAATAAGAAGAAGAGAATATACTTTTCTGTATTTTTTCTTAAAATTTTAATTTTTGTACCCTATATTAATATTGAAATAAGTATAGAAATATAAATAAAATCCTGCAGCACCGAGAAGTGCTAATGTCTGTTCCACTATAGACGATTGAACAAATTAGTGTTCATAAGGAAAATGTGGTCAAAATTTTTGTGAATTTTAAATGTGTTAAGTGATGACCAAGGACCGGATCGATGCGAGTACACAGCTAAACCATCACTGTAGTGATGCATTTGATGAATTATTCGTCGGAGTGATCAGCTTTCACGGTGACTCACTACACGGTATAGGAAAGGGTCACGTTTTTCTTCAAATTAACGTGTATGTACCACCGTCCATACTGTAGATTAGGTAAACTTAAAATGCAACGATCATTGCATTGCAAATTCAGTTTTACAAACAAAAAAAATAGAAGTAATTGTTAATTTAATAGCAATAGCACAGGCTGAGTTATTTAAACTGCAACCTAACCCTTGAGGGTTATTTGGAGTCTAGTGCTAGAGTAGGTTTCATCACGTAAGGGGACAGCAGGTGAGTGCGCAGAACTGTTTTGGTTTAGTCTTACAAATATCGTGAAAGCAGTGGTAGCGGCGATGAAAATTTAAAAACATACTGGGTGTAATCCGAGGGATATTCAAAATATTTTTACTTTGAAATATTAAAATGTTGGCGTTAATACAAAAATCAGTTCTCTCTTTTATTAGCGTTGATGTTATAGAGAGCGAATTTAAACATTTGTTAATGCTGTATTATGATACGAACTGAATAAAATTGTTATTTAAAACAAAACACAACAAACTTCAAAATCACGTAATTTCATTCAGGAATGAGGAATTCTAATGGGAATAAAAGAAACTGTCCAAACAAGTTTACGTCTCATTGCTCGTCTTTCTGTCGATTAGCTGCAGACCTAATTTGTAGTACACACTCTATACAGTGCATCTTTTTTAAAAGTGGCCATAGGGATTCCCATGTTAAATTTTGGACCCCATGTTAACTTTTGTTAGGGTGAAAACAGAGATGATTTTTGCGGAGAAAATAGCCTTAGGGTTCTAATGTAATTTTCACTACCACTTTTTGCAGTAATTTGTTAATTTGTGCTTAAAAAAATAAAAATTATTTTGATTAAAAAAGTTTGATACATCATAGACGGTTTTGATGTATCGTTTTAACTTGTCATTTTTGGCAGCTTAATTTTGATTTATACAAATTTCATTCGAGATACACCCACATAAAACTTTATGACAGATAATGAGTGAAACCCCTGCACAATGGCAACAGTAATTTATTGCTTTTAACACCCTATGCGACCAGATATCGGCACGTTCCGGCAGAATTTTTCAGGGCCGTACTCTGTTAAAAAATAAGGTGAAATAATAGACAAATTGTATTAATTGAATAATATTTATCAGATTATAAGTCACTTTCAGACTCAGATGAGTCGTTATTTATTGAAATTATAATTTCGTTAGGCCGTGTATTTACAAATGTTGATTCAACTTTTATAACATGCCGAATACAATTCTGCCATTTTTCAGAAGATATGAGTTCTGATTGTTGTCTAATGAGATTTACTACAGCCGGAGAACTTTCTGGACGATTATTATATTTTCTAATATTATATCTATAACATTACCGAAAGCTGGTAAAACTTTCAACTCAACCCGAATTCGGCTTTGTATAAAATGACCTGTCAAGCCCTTTTCATAATTTATGGTTGCGGTTTCAGGAGCACCGATTTTTGAGTGATTGGTCCCATAAAAATTTATGTGGGTGTATCTCGAATACGGTTACAGTAATCATTAATCTCTATTGCAGTTTTTAGAAAAGAAACAGAATGATGGAATTCAGACATAAATGAAGATAATAAAAGATAATTTCACTGAAATTGCGTCGACGATTGAAAAAACTAGTGTACATAAATCTGCCATAAAATTTTCAAAATGTGGTCTTGCCGGGTATGGAACCATGTGGGAATGCTGCAGTAAAATTTTGCGTAGTTTCTCTGTTGTCGATAAGACTTTAATGTAGCCACCAGTGACCATTTCTACTTTTTTTTTTTTAATTGTGTACTGCGGCATGTTGACGAATTTCGGTCACTAAAAACCAGTAATCGAAGCTTAGAAACGTCAGGTAAATGTTTGTTTTTACATGGCTGCCTACAATATTAGCGACAAAAATATCCAAATATTTTCATTTTTTTAAAGAAATATCCTTCAATTTAAAACATGACTTTTAATAAAATCGACAAATTACATCCAGTAAAAATTTCAGTTCTGAATCTTTACTCAAACATAAGTTAACATGGGAATCCCTATGGCACTTTTAAAAAATATGCACTGCATATAGAGTACAACGTTTCTCATCTTTCTTGGTTGGTTCTGTAAGAGCAATAAAATTTGACAACGCAATCTCGCACAATGATAAGACAATGAGGAATTACCATAGAAGGAAGTTTCAGTTTCGACCGATTTTCTGCCGAAACTCTAGTTTTGGACCGAAACTGACCGACACCACCAAATATTCGGTGGGAGGAGATGAGTAAGGACAAGCGAATTGTCTTCATGAAGGTATTAACAGACGGGACTATAACAAAACTTGTAATTTAAGTTCGAATATTCGCCTTGATTCTTTTACTCAAGTGGCGAGGATAAACGTAGGTACAAATTATAAGAATTTACCGACTAAGCACTTTATTCACAAAAAAGTGAGCGCTCGTTTACCAGAACTTCCTACTTTACTTTGTTCTTGTCGAGTTGAGGCATGAATCATGATGATCGGAGTGTGGTAGGAATGTTGTCGTAGTGTAAAAGATGGTGGAAGAAGGGCAATTTTTTGAGATGTCCGCTCTTATGTTGGGAAACCCGTACCAAGAACATCTGTACTAAGGATATCTGTACCAATGTAGTATGAAGTGGTGGTAACACCAACGCCATCGTTAATTACAAAAATAATGCAGTTGTATGCATACATTCACCGCCTTCAAAAAAGGCTTATATAAAAAAAAGTGATAAAAAAATATGACTAATCATATAAAATATAAGAATCTCTGAATATGAGGATTATATCTGCATATGAGTGATCTGAAATACTTATATAAAATATAGAGTATACGAGGTACTGAATAATCAAAACGACTATGTTGATATGGACAGCATCCTAACGCTCCGCACGCTTCGTGATGCCGCTGCTTGTCCTTACGCTTATTACATGAATGACGGCATCATTGCCAGGGTGCGTCAGCGTCTCGATGATACGGCCTATTTTCCACTATTGAAGGTGTGTCTTCTCAATAAGGACAACTAAGTCGCCAACGTGAACCTGCGAGGTGTCTGCCTTCCTCGCGTTGAGTCGTGTGAGGTGTTGCGTCTGGTATTCCTTAGACCAGCGCTGCCGGAAGTGTTGCTGATCTTTTCGATCCTCCTCCAACGATTGAGAAGGCGTTAACGCTTGCAAATCATTAGGGTCACTCGAGGGGTCAGTACTTACGGGCGTCATAGAATGGGAATTTAGGATTGCTTCTATACGTGCCAATAAGATGTACCTTTCTTCAAAATTTAAATGACTTTGCCTTAAAGTTCTTTTGATGTGATACTTTCCGGATTTTACATTTATTTTCCGAAGCCCATGTGTGGCGACCGTGGCGGGATGAAATGCCATTTAATTTTGTTGCGAGTTAATTCTCTTTGAAAAGTAGTGAATGCTTTAGATCTAAAAATTGCTTGTAGTTCTCTATCAGCTCCAACAAAGTTGGTGCCGTTATCTGAGTAATCAGGTACACTTCTGCGTCTAACCATTAACCTCCGTAGCGAATTCATAAACGGTTCTGTTGTGAATAACCTACTAATTCTAGGTGTATCGCTGTGGTGGCAAAAGACACGGACAATGTAATATATGATTTGATTAAGCGTCTTGGGCGGTCTCGCGATTCTTTTGTCAAAATAAGACCAGCATAATCAACCCCACACACCAAAAACGGTCTGGTTGGCGTAACTCTAGATATTGGCAAGTTACCCATGAGGAGCGTTATGGAAACTGTATTAACGCGATTACATACCATCTAGCAAGTTCGTAGCACTTTACGAACTGTATTCGTTGCAGATATATTCCAAAAATTTTCCCTAACGGCAGATATGGTGCGTTTCAATTATAATTAGATTGGTAAGCCGCCTACACGCATAACTGCCTCATCATCTAAAAATGGACTTAAAGATAATAATTTTGATTTTTTGTCTAAAGGTACTGTGAAAACCCAAACTTCCCGCCTTAAATTGACACTTGAAAGGAAATTGAAAGGCCCGCGAACAATTCAAACATTCAAAATTTGGCCTTGGCTTTGATCGTCTAACAAAATGGAACCTACGTTGTTTTTTTTTAACGGCGGGAAGACGTTCTTTCATACAAGTGAGCATATACTGCGTGTGAGTCGAGAGCGCAAGAAATAATAGACAAAATTTTTGGGAGGGGGCTAAAATCGCACCCCTCCCTAGGAGGAAAAGAAGTGACGAGCGAAGGTGACTTGTAACGTGCCCTCTGGCTGCCCAGGAGGGCTGAGTCGCCATCGCTTTTCTACCCCAAAAACTTCCTATGGTTTTATTCACCCACATATTACATTTCAAATGAAATACATTAAAACATTAAAGAAAAAATACTCGCGAATTGACAGACATACACATATGGGAAACCGAACAAGTGTAAAAATCCTACATTTATGTTTTGAATCAATGCGAATATCTGAATATCACAAATTTAATAAAGATAGAGCAAAAATCTGAATTAAAGTAACTGGATACAAATACACAAGTTATTACGAGCCTGTGGCCTCAAATTTAAAATCATGGCAGTTAACAAGAGCACAACAAAAATACCCTTCTAGCACAAGCGGAGTTTGGAGCTACCGGTCGGGGCTGTTCTCCCCCCACGACGGTGATTCTATCTATCGCAAGCCTACCGCACAGCACATCTCCATGACGAACATGCCGTCCGAACTAGGCCGTTACGATCGCAGATCCGCAGTTGGGTCTCGGCTATTGGGCCAAGTCGACAGCGCTACAACATCGCGACCGCCCCTGAATTTATACAAACCTGCAGCCTTTTGTGCAGGTGACGCGATAGATCTCGCCAGCTCGACGAGGAACCGCACTTCGCTTCTGCCATGTTTTCTGTGTTATTTAACCTCAATTCCATTTTAATCTCTTATAACTCTGATATTAACAACAACTGAACAAGTGTTAAAGTTTCAAAAGAATAATAAACAATTCGCATAATGTAACACTTACGTATATGCATCCAGAAACTTATTCGTAATTAAACAAACAAGGCGTTCTCCTGACTAAGTGAACTTCATGAAATCTTCTAGCAAGTGGTTTATTTGAATAATCCTGATTGTTAAATTGTATTGGCACTAGTTGACGATAAAAAATAACATTGGTGAGTTTACAAGCAACAAAACAAATTCACCCCACGTGGTCCGCGGGTTGGGGAAAACTGAGCGCCGTCGGCGTTACGATCAATTTTCGTTAAACAAAGACTTCCTCCCTTTTATCAACTACCAAACCAACTAATTTAAACTAGCCCTTACCACGTGTTTACATTCACAAAAACACCCCCAAACTGACGCTTTCAACATGCTGCCCTCTGTCTACCAGCCCGACTACCGCCCTCTAACTAAAACATGCAGAACTACCCTCAAGCACTAACGTGCATACATGGTTGCTGATATTTAACGATTTTTTTGATTGAATTTTTTTTCTTTCACATTAAAATTATTCAAATGTAATTTCGCGCCGCTGTTAACTAATTTCAGCGCGAAAATTTTGATTCAAATTCGGTCACCACAGTCATCATCACTGTCTTCGTTTAAATTAATTATAATAGGAGTTACATCTTCTCAATTAAACAAAATTTCCCTCTCTCACCAGCGCTGAATGTCTCCTACAGTTTTAGTTATTGTTTTTGCCCATACTTCAGGTGTGATTTCTAAGGATTTTTCAGCAGTACTGCCATCTTTTCCAACGTAATCTCTATAATATCTTCCAGTTATTCCCCATATATACTCTATGGGGTTGAAAATAAAACGATAGGGTGCAGTTCTAAGCATCTTATGCCCATGCTGCTCAGTTAACCCTATCTGGTGCTTAAATACGAGGGCTGTCCGGCGGAAAGTGAGCCTAGGGTCGAAAGACTGACTTTTAAAATCTATTATATTTTTTACTTTGCAACATAATCTCTATCTATTTCAATAAACTTTTCACATCGACCGTGCAATTGTTTTATTCCGCGAAAAAAAAATTCCGAAACTTGGTCTGCAAAATGCTCATCTACAGCTGACTTCATTTCGTTTTCATCGAAAAATCTCCTACCACGTAACGCCTTTTTTAAATCTTTAAACAAATAAAAATCGCTGGTAGCCAGATCTGGACTGTAGGGTGGATGATTAATTTCCTCGAAGCCCATATCTCGTACAGCACGCCTTGCAACTTGAGCTGTGTGAACTGGCGCATTGTCCTACAATAGGAGAATTCCTCGGCTAAGTTTGCCCCTGCGTTTTTAAATAATAGCTTGTCACAGTTTGATTATTAAGTCAGCATAATATTGACTGTTCATCGTTCTTCCTCTTGGAAGGTAATCCACCATAAGTATTCCTGCGCTATCCCAGAATATCGTTGCCATAAGTTTGGTTGCCATCCTTTGAACCTTAAACTTGCGCGGTGGCTTTTTTCCTTTTTTATCCATTGCATCAGTGGCGGCTCCTCAGAGGAGGCAGGGGAGGCTGAGCCTCCTCTATTTTTTGGAGCTGAGCTTCCTCTAATTTTTTTCGATGAAAGAATTTATATTTTTGTAGACATTTGTTATTTTTCAGAATATTTTCTTGGATTTCATTTACTTTCATCATATATCAGGTTAAAATGTCGGAAAAATTTATATTTGCGCCCTCACAATCATAATCCACATTCACACCACTCCGCGTTTGGTTTCAGCGGCAGAGGCTTGCTAGCCGCTAGCCTCCGAACGACGATGCATCTGAATAATGAGACCGTAACCTTGACGCACCGTCAGTGGGTATTGCATTGGCTAAAACGTTGATGGGACTGCCGCTCCAAGCCGCTAGCCTCCGGCTGTTCATCTCTTTTCAGATCAAGTCGTACAGATAACTTTATCTCTTTCTTATTAGTTGGAGCAATCGGGTGTAAGTAGGAAAAACATTGAGGTGGTTTCGCGAGCTCCCTGTTCAGTGGTGGTTGTGTTTAGGCTTTACGTAGGTAAGGGTATAAAAGGGAAGACCAACACCATCACTCCCATTAATGGTATTGACAGTTACAATTAGAAACAAAACAGAGCATTTCATGAAAATAATTATAATAAAACTAAATAGTTAACGGCTTCGGTTTTAAGAAACAAATTATACTGCTGGAATTGTGTATTATTTATAAGTGATAAATTGATAAATCTTCCGCTTGGGGTAAAACAGGCTATAATAATTTACAAAATTTGTCACGAGCTATAGAAAGGCATGAAAAATCACAGGAACACATATTTTCTTCGATTAAATTAGAAATGCTTGGTAAGCAAAATATTGTCAATAATTTAGATTCGGCTCATAAAAGGGAGAACTATTACGAGAAAGTTGGTGAAAATTGGGCAATTTTGAAAAGACTAATCGATGCAATATAATTTATCTGTTAACGCAAGAGTGTTCTTTTCGTGGGCATGACGAAAAAAATTATTCAGATAATAAAAGATATAAAAACTAGTGCTTTTCAAATTTGAGCCTCCTCTGAAGAAAACTTCACGAGCCGCCACTGCATTGCATAGACTCTTGTTTGGATTCTGGATCGTACCGATAAATCCATGTTTCATCACCGGTTACAATACGATGACAAATCGCAGCCAAATCACATAAATGAAGAAAATCATGAGAACTTTCCACCCTTCGTTCCCGATCTAACGGCGTTAGCATTTTGGGTACCCAACGCGCGCTCACCTTGCTCATTAACAAATGATTACGAAGAATTTGTACAACATTATCTTTACTAATCTTCAATTCCTCTGCTATCTGACGAACTCGAATTCGACAGTCTTCGACAACTAATTGTTCTACTTTTTTGATATTTTTGTCGGTAACGACAGTGCAAGAGGGCCCTGGGTGTTCATCGTCTTTAATTAACTTTCGTCCTTCTTTGAACAGTCAAGTCCACCTTTTGACTGTTGCATATAATGGAGCACATTGTGGGTAAGTGGCCAATAATTCTTCATTAATTTCTTTGGCACATTTACCTTTTTTTACAAGGTATTTTATCACAGCACGATATTCCAATTTCCAAAAACACAGCATTTCACTAGACATGTTGCGGTTTGTTTTACGTTTTCTCAATAACCGTTACATCAATCATAACCAAATTTGAGACATCAACTACTAACATTATGTGTGTATACATACAGTCGAAGTTTTTTTGACGTGACAACGTCTTATAATTCGATTGAGCCGGCTGCACGCACGAAAAAACATGACTCATGCGGCGTTACCTCGCTCTGAGGCGTTCCATGTAAGGCTTGAAGTGCAAGCGAGAACGCGGAACGATTGTAAGAAATTAAATATTACACATGTTTAACAGTTGTAAAACAATTGCTCAACGCACATTTATACTTGTAAAAACTATTAAATTGTAAAAAAAAATTGACATAATTGTATTTATGCGTATAAATAAATCTAACTTGATCAATTTCATTGTGATTTCTAATTACCTCCTCTATATACATACAAATCTATTAAACAAATGAAATTAAAATTTTCTTTTGAAAAATGCTACCATTCCATCAGTATTTTCTTAAGACGTTGTCACGTTCAACTATCGTCAGTAAACCGACTTTACAGACAACCGATTTTTTTTTAGACACCCATCTTCTAGACGAGGCTCAATTTCCGCCGGACAACCCTCGTAGGTTGTGGCTTATTCCTAAGAGAAACAGATACAATAATTAAAATTTTTAAAATGTATCCAATCGTTATGTTAGGTACCGTTCAATCAACTGGAGCAACTGCGGCTTTAATATGGAAGCAAAAGTTGGTGCCTTATTAATCATCGTACTCTGATACGGAGCTTTATTCAAGATAATAAGAGATGGTTCTTCTAAATTTTGGAATTTTTCTAATTCCTGGAGAAATGTGTGACGTTTCAACACGATATCGGGCACTTCCATTAACTCACGTCTCGGATCATCTTGTTTGTAACAAAACCCAATATAAAAAATAGGTTGCTGTACAAGCTTGATCATGTGGGAATCAGATGCTCTCTGCTAGCGTGATTGTCAGCCTACCTCTCGGACAGAGTTTTCCGTTTCCGTGTTTGTGACAAATTTTCTAATTTTGCTCAGGTTTCAAGTGGTGTTCCACAGGGTTCTGTTGGGACCATTCTTGTTTCTAATTTATGTTGGTGATATCGTATGTTGCATTAAATCGCAGTCTTCCTTCTTCGCAGATGACACCAAGTTATTCAGTAACCCAATAACTAGTTCTAACACTTTGCAAATTGATTTGGACCGCCTTGTCGTTTAGTGCGAAGACTGGCTTTTACCCTTAAATGTTAGTAAATGCGTTGTGCTACATTTAGGAAAGAATAATCCACAGTTGCATTACTGCATCAACAATTAAACTCTCAAGGCAGTTGAGTCACACGTTGATCTTGGTGTTACTATCACAAGCAACTTGTCCTGGTCCCCTCATATCATTAAGATATGTAATAAAGCCAGATCTGTCCTATTCCTTTTGTCCAAAGTTTTTACAGATGCATCACCCTCTACTTTTATTAAGCTGTTTAAAAGTTACTGCAGACCTATACTTGAATATGCTGGTCCTGTGTGGAACGTGGACTGGGGAAAAGACAACCTGGAACTAGAATCTGTCCAAAGACTGGCTACGCGAATACCTTATGGTAGTACCAGACCCTCGTATCATGAACGCCTCGTCTCATTCAACTTAGATAGCTTTCATAATAGACGCCTACGGGGTGACAAAGATTGAGGGGGCACAGTTACAAATTGAGGAAATGGAGTAATTTTAAATCCAAATGTAGGCAAAAGCATCTCAAATTGAATTATTTTATCCAGTGCGATGATTATTGTAGGATAAATTAAACGGAATAAATGCACAAACTCCATTTATTGGTGCTGAGTATAGCACATGGATCCCTCCACGAAACTCCTGGTCGTTCACAAGCAGTAATGGTCAACAACATTATTATAAAGTTATGTACCACATAAAAACAGGGTTGTTTAATCAAGTATTGAAAAATAAAGACCTATGCCAAATGTAGATAACTAACATATTTAAACATAAGATGGATCAGAGAAACTTTATAACATATACAGAGATTTATTAGGATATTTGTTATATTAATTACAAGACATATAAACAACTTTTTGTAAGGAATCTTTACATGATATTTTTTCTTATATGAGAAACTTAGATCTAATTTGACTATATTGCTATCCAAACAAAATAATAAATGCAAGTGAAAAAAAAAGTAACCATTTATTGTGTAACAGTGGGACAGAAAAATAGAACACATAATTTTTGGTGGGTATCATCTTTTAAGATCAACTGAGCTAAAAAAAAACAACAAAAACATTTCTTGAGGAAATACAGACGTGTGATTTGTTTGATTTAATTTTATAATACAGTTTAAATATGTTTAAAATACAAAAAGTGATTATATTTGAAGTTAGACAAAATCAGGAAGATGTAATCGGTAACAACAAATGTAGTAATAATGCAAAAAATCAGTGCAATACTATACATATCTAAAGATAACGTATGGATTTCAGTTTAAAATAATTTAATATTATATCCGGCCTAGAAAAAGATAAATACATATTCTTATTATCAAATAAACACTAAATATTACAGTAATCTTTGTTAAAAATAATAATAAATAATATTTACAAGTGGAGCTAGGATTTGTTTGTTAATGTAAGTAGTACCCATAATGATACAAATTAACAAAAAAGCGTACTTCATTAAGTACATACTGGGTATTAGGAAATGCCACCGTCAAAATTTAAAAGTTGTTTAGAAGCAAAATGACAAATAAAACTCATATTTATTTATATTTTTGTGTTGCAGTTATATCAGTTATGTTTATTTATGTTTTAAATGAAAGGACACTTACTTTTGAAGAAATACAGATTTGACACAATTTTGTGTCAGACTTGACTTAATTATAGGCGCCTGCAGTTTATTTAGTAAGTCAAGCGTGGTATTCATTTTTACGTTTCACGAATTATAGGAATATCAAAACGTTATAATGAAATCCTGTTTAATATAATAATCATTTCTCTCATTTTAATATTTGACATAACTGAAAACTGCGTTCCAAAATTGTCTTTCTTCGGAAAAAAAAATGATCTCGTCGTCTAACAGTAGGACATTGATAATGATAGAGCAGTCAAATAAGACAATAAAAACATATTTTGGTAGTGCAGTATCTCGTAATTGTGTGATTTAAATATTCTTCAAGGACATTAAAAGTTTTAGGCTTCATTATAAAATAAGTTTAATTTTGCCAATTGCTTTCCCTAATACTCTGTATAATAATACATACATAATAATGAGTTAAGGCATAAAAGTTATGTCAATTGTGTTACGTAAGATAGGAGTACATAATCATAAAAGATGAAATTTACCACTAATGTATCAACAGAAGTAGCAAATTTAATTACCTGAAAACAGCACAGAGAGTAAAGTATTTTTCTGTTTTCAAAATATAAACTTCAATTATTTTAAGTTATATCCAATACATATTATATTAAAAATAAAAATTTAATTTTTACAGGTTGCAGTTCCTTACACCTATCTCTTTGTAACGATTGACATTTTGCCAAAAGTACTGATACTGATATGACATGATAAGAAGCCTCTACAATTGCATAAATAACCTTACAACATAAAACATTAAAATTAAATCACAGTGACTTGGTTAGCGTCAAATTTTACCTTATTTTAATAAAAATGTTTTAAGTAATTGTTAGTATAATATAGATTACTTGCATTTTCGAGCTCTTCTACGGAATCTTCGCATTCGTTGATCCCACTCGTCTCTCCATTCTATAACAATTGATCTTTCAGTAACTCCTAAACTATTTGTAAGGATACCAGCAGGTGAATCGTCTTTTTCTCGTCCCAGAAACAAGTATGATCTGCAAATATATTAAGTTAGAGTTTTCTTAACTTGTATATAAATTGTTCATTACCATTACATGGAAACAGGTAACGAATAAAATAGTGTAGGTAATGTAATAAAATTTGACTTACACAGTTTTAGTATATAAGATTTATAAGTGGTATTTACCCAGAATGCAGATTAGGTGCAACTTAAGGCAAGTCGACTTAGTTTTTTAAACAAAAAACTTAAGAATTAATGTGCTTCCGCAATATTAGTTTTCGCGTTTGTTTATTTTCATAAATAGTTCTTCTAAAATAAATTTTGGATTGTATTAAAATGCAGCTACAATGCGCATAAATATATTTGGACCAGGCCTTGTAATTATTATTTTTGCGCTGCCATAGTTGTAATTGACATTTTACGTTGACATGTGGCGTGTCGCAATGGCAATGAAAAAGGATCTAGTGCTGCAAAATACAAACGAGGAATTTAAGCTTTGAAAAAATAAATTGATTATCACAAAGCAATTACTACTAATTGATAATCATGTATCTAAAGTTATTATAACAAAAAGTGGCTCGAAATTTTAAAAAAGCGCAATTTAAGTTGTAATCTTAAATAGGGGAATTTGTTGATCAAAATTTGGATTTGTAGTAATTTGACAGTTGACACTATTCGGTGGTTTGGTTTATGTTGTTGACAACTATTATGTTATTACTGTTTGTTAGTAGTTCTGGTTAATTAAAAAAACCGTTTAAACTTGACGTTATTCGCAACCTCACGCTGAATCATAATCACAAGATTCTCTCTGACATGGAGCCGCAAATAAAAATGTTTCCACTGGTAAGTATTTCAGACTTCTTGGGCTTGTGTCATTCTGCCGCTTTAAAAACGCTGTTAATTTATAAAATTTCGAATAATTTATGTTATGTTTGATGCCAAGAGGACTTTTCAGAACTGAATATATTGTCCACAGTGTGGAAGCTTTCATAATTTCCGACTTAATTTGGAAATAAACCACGAGCGTCGTTTCAGAAAATTCGCATATTTTATTTTCTTCGCACCACTTGATGAATTTTTGATATTCGGCTTCATATGGACCTGCGGATTTTGCAGGCAACAAATTTGCAGTTGCTTTATCTGCAATTTTCTGAATACGTGCACGATTTTCCATTTCAACTTTGAAATTCAAAATCTAGCCCGGACAAATTGACAGATTGGTATTTGACGTATTTGGTAATAAATTCAATACCAACATAATTTCGGTTCAGTAATATTTATTCTTTTAGCGATTGAAAAATGTTATTTTTTCTACTCCCACATAGTAATCCATGAATTACGAACTGTCTAGCCTCATAGTAAAACCATAGTTACACCCACTGGCATGTAATGAATGAACAGGCACGTAATATATATATATATATTACGTGCCTGTTTGAATAGTTTCCATAGCAACTATAAATATTTGCTTTCCCAAAAAAATTTCTTCTGAAAGTGATTCTTCATTATAGATCGTAGAAAAAGTATATGACACAACTCTGGTGGTAAGCTAATTACGAACTCATATTACATCACTCGCTCGCTACGCTCGCTCGTGTATAAACTTCGTTCGCAATTAGCTTCTTACCACCCTCGATATGTAATATACTATTTTCAAAAAGGCAGCGCAAAAAATATTGTATGATACTCGTGTGAAAACTCCATTGCATTACTCACTCACATACAGCGCTCGACTGCGTCTCGCGCCGTATTCCCGTTCGTAATGCAATGGACCGTTTTCAACACTTGTAACATAAACAACTATTTTAGTTTATTTATATCTAGCAGGGTAACTATTATTTCTGGAGACGAATCAGACAACTGAATATACTTTAGAGTATGGATGGTTTCATCATTACTATTAAATGCAGTCGAGTTTACAGATAAGTGATATTTGACTTGACAGCATTTCCTAGAATTTCGTATCAGTTTTTCTCGGTTTATTGTTATTTCATCTTTGTTTTGTTTGTGTAATAAAATTAGTTCTTTTCAGAACTACTTATTATGTGAGTTTTGCTGTTTACGATATTTTTACCAGGAATGAGGAGGAATGTTTTTTTTCTGAACAACACAAAGTATTCATGGTAATGTCTTACTATCGAAACGATATAAAAGTAGATGAAATTTGGTAATATTCAAATGAATTATGCGTGGAAGAGTTTTGAGAAGAATTCTCTGACTTTGTTAACGCTAGTCCCCCAATATAATTTAAAGACAATGAAAAGCTAGCACCTAATAGTTTGGAGCTTGTACCAACTAGCACCATTAGTCTCATAGCTAGCACCATTAAACAATCTAAATAAAATAATTGAAAACCCTGAAAAAATAACTCGCATCTATTTACAAAGCATAATTCCCAATCGTGGCTGGAAATAAACTATCTTTGAAAATTAATACATCAAAATCATCCATTACTTATAAAAAGCCATGTTTTCTGCATTGAACAGAACATTAATAGGTACCTACATTATCTACATATTTAATTAAATTACATCACTTGCGTTAAAACCGTTCTTTATTTATTTCAACACACTAGAAATTAGGCCATGATAAATGTGATCATTTAATTTTTTTCCACAGTCATACACTTGACATTATGTAAATAACAAATTTGAAATCACAAGCGAGACTATAAAATTTAAGTCATTTGTAATTTATAAATCCGAGGCTAATGACGAAAACTTTTGTAAACTCTAAATTTCTACAAATATTATTAAAATACTTTAAAATCTTAGAAACTTAACAAAAAATGTGTCTAGTTTTACTATCCGTAATAATAATCCCAAGTTTGGGGAAAGCGTCTATTCTTTAGTTTCACGCTTAGTAATAAGTATTTCAGGTACCTAGACGAAATAGCATTATTTGTGATTTTATAATGTAATACAAATTTATGATAACTGAAACGTTAAAGACATTTCTTTTAGTTTTTACAAAACTAATTTTTCAATTTTAGAATGCAAATTATTTTCTAACATATATTTACTAACAAATTGTGTACAACAAAGATGTGGTTCATGTAAAACCGGAAATTTATAAAGAATTATAGATTTAAAAAGTCCATATTTATTAATTGAACCATTAAGTGTACATACTCACACAAATGAACTGAGGTCACGTTTACCGGATATTTCTAAACAAATTTCCCACAAAAATCAAAATTATAGTTTACGCGGTGATACTGGATACCGAGGGAGTCGAAACCCACCTCTTCTGGACCTTTTGTAGGATATGCATTTCATCACAACAAAAACTGGAAAATGTTTGACATTTATTATGTTGCATGTTGCATTTTTTATGCATTATAGTTTTATAAAGAAATCACGAACGTCATTTTTATAAGTGCAACATAATTTTTGTTATGCCGTACCCAGTATTTTCCTATTTTCTTTGTATCTCTTTTTTAAGTCAAAAGTATTATTAAAGTGGTAACCTCTATTACATTAGATGAGCATGTTGGAACTAGTTGTAAATTTGTATTAATTTATCGCTCCCCTAAGAAAAATTTAAGTTACAGTGTGATTATTTTATCTGTTCACACCTGGATAAGTCTGAATAGGCAACACATTTTACTTTCCATAAATGACTTCCTCTTAAATTTCTTATAAATAATAAATAACGTGTAGATGGCAATGATTGTATCAAAATTATGACAAATTAATTGTAGCCGTCAAATTATTTTCAACTTTTGCTAATAATGTTTTTGAATTCCGAAAAAAACCGATATGCCTTTAACTTTGGCAAAAAGTGATGGAAATTGTGAGGCTGTCGTTCATCTATGCCAGGCGATACAATTCCTTTTAACTAAGCATTTATTAAACTCGAAAAAAGCTTAAGAGAAGTTGATCATTTTAAGAAAACTAAAGTTAGGCATCGTACAGTAACAACGCTAGAAAATGAAGCTGTCTTGTTTGAAATTATAGAAGTAAATCCTCATGTGAGTCAACAGCAGATCGGAAGACAAATGCAGATTACTTAGAGTTCGGTTTTTAACGTCCTGAGGGCAAACTGATTTCACCCATACCACTTCAGTCCTTCCAAATGAAGATCATTTGCGCAAAAGGATCGTGTGGTGTAGGACAGATCTTAATTTAACACCCGAGATTCTAAATAGACTACGTAGAAATTTTGAATGCAGGATACCACTGTGTGAAGAGAGAAAAGGCGGGCAGTTTTAACCATACCACACTATTATTAGGAAATATATTATTTATTTTCTTTTCTTTATATTCGTTTAAGGATTGAATAAATTACGTTCTATTTTGTTTGAATTTTCCATTATTAGTTGCCTGACATCTTTGTTGTCAGTTATGACAGAGTGTGATTTTTGTATTGTTCCATGTTGTTCTTTTGTGGTGTAATTATTAATTTAAAAAGATTAATAGATTGATCAAAGATGCTTATGATGTGTATAATATGTTGCCTACAGTATTCAGGCGTGAACAGATAAACTAATGACCCTGTATTTACTTAAAAGAAAACACACTTTGCTAAATGGAGTTACAGTTAAGTCGAACTTATTTTTAAATATTTGCCTACAATATATGTTTTTTGGAAATTACTTATTTTATTTACTGTCCCATAGTCATAGTAGAAAAGTACCGACAGTATGCAAACAATGTCTGTTATTAGGGATATCCGACCCGGCATTGAGGGGAGTAGATGTCTGATTAAGCTCTGAAAGAAGCGTGTCTTCACAATCCCTTTCTGAAAAGTAATACGAAGTATAATGTTAATTAGAACCATCCGTAGTTATCACTACTAGAAATAAAAAGCCGGTTTTTAAATTCACAGCTCGTTCGCTGTACCATTTTCCAATTACGAATTACTAAACGCGCGATGCTCACTATCTCATTAATTATTATTAGTGATAGAAAAAAAAAAAAAAAATCAAACACTATAAGGCTGTACAGTTATTTGAGATATCGAGGAGCGCCCGTTTAGTGACTCACCGTGTATATCGGCACGGAGTAGAACTAATGGAAGAATTACAGTTTC